ACCTCAGTGACAAACTGACACGTGCTCCAAGGTGTCCGGTTCACTTAATGGCAGTGAAGAGCCAGGACAGCTTCATAGGCTGCTGGAGGTGCCAGGCAAGGGGACACTGCTTTTCTGCCCATGTGAATCAAAGCAGCACCGTGCGTGTCAGTCACCTGCTAGGAGATTTCCCGAGTGGATGTGTGAGGTTCCTCTCCATGCTTTGTGTGTTTACAGATATTCATTGCTGTATTCCTTTAGATCCTTAACACGTACACTAAATGAGTGCCCGACCGGAGGGAGTTCAGCGCTTCTATGCATGATCAGTTATGTAGCTTTCTGCTCCTTTCACATATTTCAGACATATCATTACCTATAAGCACACGGCCTGTGGGAATTCTGGCCCTTCTTGGCATTGGGCAATTTATCACGGATCTGTAATAGCAATAGTAGCTTCCACTCTGGGAGCAAATTAGATTTTCTGTAAGACATTGTTGCCTTTAAAAGGTGATCAGGGAACAAAAAGTAAATAAGGTGCAATGAAAAACAATGCTTTAAAAATATAGTCATTTTACTTAATGAGAACTAAGACTCAGTGCTGTGTGTTACTTTCAGATCAGCAAAGGAACCGTCAGAGGAACGACACAGTTTCCCTGATGGCAGAACAGAACTGCCACTGAGCACTGATTGATGTAAAAAATACGAACAAAATGAGAACATTATCAAGTGATGTTAGTCCTAACTCAGAGTTTGCCTACACTAAGCTATATAAAGTCCACAGATATCACCTTACCAGTACACAGAGCTCCTCTATTTACCGTGTTGCTTAATGAACAGCTGCTTATGTTTGTGGATAAATTTTAACTCTGATGTGGTTCCGCACAGCAGGCAACGAGGCTCAGGCATTCAGTGGTACTACTCTCTGCGGCTCGCCTTGTCTGCTTCTCTGAAAAGTACTGGACTCAAAGTGGCTAAGCAGCCTGGAAGAAAACACTCCCAAATTCTTGACAAGTCCATTCTCTAGATGGTTGAGGAGACTGCCAGAAGTGGCAGAAGATGGGGAGCTGGAAAGTCTCAGTAACAACTCAACACGTGGGTTTGCAAGATCGGAGGCAGCAGGATCCATTTCTCCATCAAGCTGAACGCAGCGGTAGCTGAGTACTTGCTGTAGGACTGGTGCTGCTTGTGTGGTTTGTTCAGCCATCTGCCAGAGACAGGGTCCTGCTTTCCAAGTGGGAGCCAAACCGAAGCTGCCGCACAGTTAGGCAGCAACAGACACCAAGACCTGAAGTTTATGATCAGGCTCACAGCAGAAGTAAGCTGCAGTTGGAAGGAGAAGTGATGTCAGGTTGGGAGTTTGGTTCAATTGAATCTCTGGAGGAAGTAGAAACATGTCTTTATCTGTACAAGAGCACAGCAGCCAGCCATACTGCTTGCTATCCCCTTTCTAAGGCCAGAATAGATGATTTCTAGCCAGGATAGATGATTTACAAGAAGGTGTAAAACCCTCATCATGCACCTAATTATGCTTTACTGCACTATGGAGGGATATTTCCTTCTGAGTCCATCTGGTGATCAGACTGTACCCTGAAGCATGTGGATTGATTGCCCTCATGGTTTTTTCTCCAAGTTAGTATAACTGCTGATGCCTTATTTTTATTCATATGAACGTCTAAGCCTTTTTGAAGCATTGAAAATTATGATTAATTGTGCAATGAAAATCAATAATGGAAGTGCTTACAAGCCCAGTTTGATTTGGGAGTGAATTCCAAAGACAGCTGCTTTCTCTAAGAGTGATGGAAAAAGTTGGAGAAAACCTACAGCAAAAAATTCCAGATCCTGGAGGTTTTTTGGTGACGTTTGTCACGGGTTTAACCCCTTCAGCATCTGCTGGGAGCTTTATTACAGGCTGCTGTTACCAGTTCATGAAAGCAAAACCTCAAGTCCATCAAATAAACCAGAATGCCCAATTAAACAGAGGTGCATTGAAAAGTGAAAATGTTTATACTCCTGTACCAGAATGCAGCTATTCCCACACCTTCGGGACCATGACAGCTTTATTTTTCAAGGGAGATTACAGAGATAGGGATGAAGATCTGGTAAGGCATTTACTATAATATCCCTGCCAACAGCACTTATTCCCTTCCGCACACTGACAGGTGCTAGCGTTTTGCCTAGGGTTAAATATTCCAATTTTTTTCTCCATTTCCCAGAGGAGAGCACATTTTCGGAGCTCATGCGTGCCAGTCTGTAAAACTCCGGATAGAGTGACTGCCATCTCGTGGTGAGCCCTCCCTGCTGCACTGGTGCCAGGGCTCGCCGCTGCTGCGGAGCTCCAGGTTGGGGCTCAGAGATAGTGTCCCAAAATGCAGCCGGGGGGGGGGAAGGGGACTAGGAGGGAGGGTTGTATGGCAGGGTGCCTGGCTCCAGTGCTGGCACGCTGAGGAGGAGGAAAAGCAGCCCCCTTCACAAAACGTGCTTTGAGTAACAGCGTACATCACCTGGCCCCTCTCCGCAGCCTGAGCCAGAGGCAGGTTTAGGTCTCCGGGGATGCTGAAGTCCTACATCTTGCCTATGGGAAATGCATGATGTGTGAAAGCCTCCTCTCCGTGCCCCTCTCAGCAGGGTCCTCTAGAAATCCTACCCTTGTGCAAAAAACTGAGTTGCTAAGGGCTGGTAAATGGGAAATGCCTGAAAATCCCCTCTTCCCTCTGGGGACAGCAAGTGCCTGCATTCATTTGGGACCAAGGGAAAAGCCCCCCCTCTCACTCTGGTGCTGCTACTGCCTCCCATCCGTCATCTACTTCATCCCTCACGTCCACCCCTGAGTCTGGGCTGAGGGCATCTCCCGGACACAGGCAACCCAGAGCAGGGCTGTCTTCAGGCAGGATTACCTGTCCCTTTCAGATCTACACTGCCTATCCAGCCGAACATGGCCCTTGCAGTTTACAAACATACACGCGTGTGCGCAACGCATACAAAATACAGGGTCATCCCACCTGAGGGAAATGCCGTGGTGACAGTTTCTGCCTGTGGTTTCCTCTCTCCAGTTTACCTCTGCTGGACTCCCAAGTCAATCAGCGTAAGGGAAGAGCAGCCGCCTTCTCAGTGCTCACCCAGAGCCAAGGCCTCTTCTGCTTCTCACACCGCCCTGCCAGCGGGATGGCTGAGGGTGCACAAGGATTTGGGAGGGGACACAGCTGGGACAGCTGACCCCAACTGACCAAAGGGATATTCCATACCATATGACGTCATGCTCAGTTTATAAGGGGCTTGAGGAAGAGGAAGGGGGCGGCGTTTGGAGCGATGGCGTTTGTCTCCCCAAGTCACCATTACACATGATGGAGCCCTGCTTTCCTGGAGATGGCTGAACACCTGCCTGCCCACGGGACCTGGTGAATGAATTCCTTGTCTTGCTTTTCTTGTGCATGCAGCTTTTGCTTTACCTATTGAACTGTCTTTATCTCAACCCACGAGTTTTCTCACTTTCACTCTTCCGACCATCCCACCAGGGGGGAGTGAGCGAGCGGCTGCGTGGGGCTTAATTGTCAGCTGGTGTTAAACCATGACACTCCCCCTTGATGGGCAATAGTCTGGGGTGAAATCTCCATTGTATAACACTCAAAATGTTCTCCTCCTCTGCCAGCACTGGGAAATATTGTGACCAGACGAGACTGGTCTTGGGACGCCGTTCCACAGATAGCTTCATGAGAGGAACGGGGCAGCCAGATCAATCAGGAACAGGATCTGACCATTAGTACAGAAATCAAGTGGCACATTTGCATTGCAGAATACATTAAAAAAGCAAAATTTATGGGTATATGAGCAAGGGAAGAGGATGACAGGTATTGCACTGAATGGGGAAAATTGTACCGGGTCAGGCAGCAGGTCCAGCCAGCACAGTGTCCCATCTGAGCACAGTGCCTCAGAGTGGCAGGTACAGAAATGACCTAGGAAATAATACTTCCTGATTTCTGCAGTCTGTGGTTTCAATAACAATACGGAAGACACATCCTTAGCGAGCCCACAGTGTTTTTTAAAAAAATCTATCCCTATTTCAGCTATATGATACACATTTCCCTGTTAGCACATGCATTACTGAAAGGAAAGACTACACATTTGGCTTTACAGAATATTTTATTTGGAGAGACTTCTCATGTTATTGAATATTGGTTTTTATTAAGGCAATTCTGAAGGGGCTGGAGGGGCAGGAGGAGAAGAGGGAGGGAACTGAGTCAACGGGATTGCATTAAGGCAAAATTCCCTTCTTCTGCATTTCACCACAGTAAAATCCGTGTAAAGGCCAGAACAGTAAATGACTTATGCCAAGGAAGAGATTCAGTGCAAATATAACCTACTGACTATCCGCAGATGGGGCTAGGTCCTTGACTGAGGCGAATTGACAGCGCCTTGTTAGCTGCAAAGCTAGCTGATTTAGCTCCTTTGAGGATCCCACCCTGGGTTCAGGGAAGCATTTTAGTATGTGTTTCATATGCAAGCACAGATTTAAATGCTCTCCTGAACCAGGGCCACAGCCCTTTGAGTGCAAGTCTGTGAAGTTAAGAGAGTTTAATTTTTATTCACCACATAAATATATAATTCTGCATCCCTTTGGTTCATTTATATTGCTACTAACTGGGTATATCCCCTTAGTTTCTTTAACATGTTTTTCATTTCTATCATGCTTTGCGATCTGCTTATGTTTTAAGTGTATTGTGACATAAAAATGAATTATCCTTTGGAGAGCATTTCTGGCAAAGGTTCCAGATTTTGGTGTTCTTGGAGGACCAGGTTAAAGTATGTTTTTTTCAGTGAGTAGTAATGTACTCTGTGAGTAATGCCACTGACGGCACAGGCATAACTTGCAGGGAAAAGTACTGCTCAGATTACATACCAGCAACACATCACAGACCCCAAACACTTCTCTCTTTCTACAAGAATTTCCTAAGAGGATCCTACTGTTCCAAAAATATAGTCACTAATACTTGCATTGGCTTGGGGAAACCCTTTCTGTTATCCTGGGTGCAAACCGAAGGAAAGTATGGCAGAAATGCTACCAAAAGCATGAAGACATTTTCAGGCAGAAGCAGTATATAACATTTCATGATCCTAAAAGCTGTTTGTACATCCCAAGACAAAGATCTCCAGGTGACCTCTGACAGAAAACCCTGGTATCCATTAATAAAAGGATATGTATAGGCCTTGCTATTGAAAACTTATTCAGGAATATGAAATGGGTATATCTAGCAAAGTGGAAAATAAGGCAAAGAAATCAAGCACATGTTACTGTTCAAAACAAAACATTTCCTGGATACACTCGGATACACAACTTTTGTACGATCGGGAAACATGTATAACATTCACACCTTAAAAGCATGAGCACCTTGCATTTTTCCTTGATACGGAGAAGAACATCCAGTTTGAGGGAACCAAAAGGGTGAATATCAGGCATCAGTACAAGTCTTTTGTGCTTTAAACTTTCTTCATGCCTTTTCCCATAAGGCAAGCAAACACTGTCATGACCATTTTGGGTTTTACTTCAACCAGGTCTTCTGGAAGGGCATAGACTCTTGCTCCAATTTTTCTTGCCATAGAGATGGCATATCTGCATTGCAGGGGTGAAAAAAATGCAAAAAACAACAAAGAAATAAATAAATTAGTGCAGTAGCATTAATTTTCCCTCTGTTAAGAAGTTTTTAACATGATCAATAGTAGAGTGGGTTTGGAACTTCCTTACTGATTCATCAAAACTAAACTTCTCTATACGAATGTATGAGAGAGGTTCATAGAGAACTGAATTTCTAGTAAAAGGTGGAGTGTATTCCCTGATGGTTAGAGCACTGATTATCTGCAGCATGGGACACTGCAGGTCAAACTCTGCTATGAAACATTTAGTCTCCTATCCCCTGAAATATTATCCTCTCAACGAGCCACTCTGGTCTTGCTCCTCCTCAATCTCTGCAACTCAGTCTTTGCACATAAACAAATACACAAGGATGGAAAGCAGAAGGCTGATGTTGATGGAGATCAGTGTTGCTGGAAATCAACATTCAGGGACTTCTGCTTGAGTCACACCCAGAATTTGCAAGCTGACCTTCCCATCTCCATGCTCAGAGTGCACTGTTGCATGGCTACTGGCTGTTCTCCAGTGGATATGTCTTCTCTCTATTTTTTCATGAAAAAAAGCTAGAAAATCCCAGGTTCTTCCCACTGCAGAGCACATACGTTTTTGAAATTCTCCCAAAAAATGCAGAGAAACATGTTGGGGGAGAGAGGGGTGAAGAAAAGGAGGGGAAAAGAGGAAAACATCAGCAGAGGGATGAAGAAATCAAGTATGGAGAGAAGCACACATAGGATTGCAAGGAAAGAAAGAGAGCAGATGGTAGGAAATGGAAGGGGAAGAGTGCAGTGGGAAAAGTCTTTATAAAAATGATGGCAGTTCTGATTGCCTTACAGTCATCCTTTTCTCTTTTGTTATTGCCATATGGCAAAGGAGAAGCTAAGCTGATGGCCAGGCTGGGAGGTGATCTGTGTAACTCTGAAAGGAAAGGGAGATGCCCCCAGGATTGGCTCTCTGCTAGGAAATGGTTTGCACTCAAGAAAAAAAAAATCAATATCCACATTGATAAAATCAATTTTTCAGTCATGAATCCTATCCTCCCCCTTCTCTCTTAAATATGCCCTTGTTCCACCTGTATGTGACTAAAGAGGTACCATGACCTCTAATCACTGGTTTCTATGGCTCACTATTGTTGGCATTGTTCTCTGATCTCTGAAAGAATTTTAAATTTAATGAGAGAAAATAGGAGCTTGTGAAGCCAAGTGATTTTGATCCCTTCAAGGGAATTATAAAGCAGGAATTATAACATTACACACTTCATTTCCATTGATAGTCTTTTTTACTGCCTAACTCCTAGCCTTCATGCTTCTAACTCTGGAGGTATTTCTCAGTTGAGGTTGTGCCAGATGAGAATGATAGCAGAGCAGTTTCCAAAGACAGAGTCAGGCAAGCCTGAGCAGGTAACCCGTGTTAAGGTCACTTGGCATGAACGTACTTAGCATTATTTAGTTTCTCCTCATCATTCAGGTCCTCTGTTTTCAAGAGGTCATATTTGATTGATCCTGGTTGAATGGCATCAATGAGATCCAGGACTGGCATACTGGTGCTGATTTTGCTATCCTGCATAGATGAAAAATAAAATTAGATGCAAGAACAGGATGACAGATTTCCCACAAAGCCAGAGTCTAGGCTTGAGAGCAATGGACGGCTCAGTCAAATACCATTTAGATCTTCGCAAAGGGCTACTTAGCATCGCTTTTCATTTAAGGCAGACTAAGAACCCTTTCAAGCATTTTTTTTTTTCCCTTGCAATGGATGAGACATCATTAAAGCAAAAGATGGGGTGCTGGGCTAGTGAATTTGCTTCCTGTGGGGAGATGACACTGATACACGTCTACTGATGGGAGGTGCGAAGGGGACCAGCTGTGTGACTCCTCAACTCATTACATGAAGTCTGATGGATCTGTCCTCGCCTGATTTACATTCACTGTGTTACCCAGCTTGGGAAGTGTCACAGATGCGTTAGCAAAACTAGAAGCTCTCTGGAACTGGTCTGTCTCTGCGTTTATATGGTACATTGCAAAATAGGGCAAGGAGCCCTGAATGGTACTACCAGATTGTAAACTTATTGCTATTGTTCTTTTTAATACTGGCATTTGTAATTGCTGTTGTTTAATAACCAACAGCACAACAGTTCTTTAATTCCAGTCATCGTTCCTGGCTCCACACTTTCCTATGATTTCCTATGTCAAACTGTCATTCAAGGTGTTTCCTGTTACATTCATATAATGTTTCTGTTACTTTTTCATAATAAAGCCCCTGGAGTAAAATTTGTGTATCTGAACATGCCTTTAAAAGGGAATGAAAAATAACCGAACTATGTAGTTAATTATATCATAATGTAGTGTGTGCATGTATTTGCATATATATGTCTATATAGCGGCAACATATATAACATACACACAAACACACGGAGTAAGAGATTCCTAAGCAGCAAATTCTAACAAAAAACTATACCTTGAAACTGGAGATGGTTGAATCCTTCCCGGCTGCAGTCAGTGTTTCATTGACCCAGCTGACAATGATTTCATCATTGACCTTCTCTCCACCACCAATGTCTTCAAGGATATTCAGGGTGTACCTTAAGAGGAAAGCCAGGATACCTGCATTTGCTCAAAGCCTACCGTAACCTCAGAACCGTGCTGTACATGCGCAGCTTGACTGGGATCACGCCAACAGTCCTCTTAGACCTGATATTGCCCGGCTTCCCACACACTCACAGTGTATATGAATTCTATTATAACACGATAGTTAATCTAACTGTGTCTGATCCCAGTTCCCTAATCACTGGTTTGGGAGTGTCAAAAGTTTTTGATACCCAAAATTCCTAAAAGGTCCCTCTTAGTGGATCTCGGTGTAAACCCCCTCATTCTCATAGTGCTTAAATAAATAATCACTGACCTTAAGGCCAGAAGGGAATTGTTATGGTCATTTAAGGCTGATCTTCTGCATAAACACAAGCTTATATGTCAGCATACACCTTGGAAAGACATCCCAAACTGAGGTAAGTAATCACCACATCCCTAGATTAATTACCTGCCTGATAAACCTATGCCTTGCTTTATAGGCTGAATTTAGTCTGTATTCAGTTCCTAACCACTGGGTCTCTTCACACCCAATTATGGAGCTCTTAAATACACATACAAACACACACACATGCAGAATTACATTAAAGTGGGGATAGCTACTGAGTTGCATCCACTTCAGGTAGCAGATTACAAAACTTCTGCATCAATTCCTTGTTTCCAGTACATTCTCCCCATTCCCTGATACAGAGACCTTTCAACTTCTTTTTCTCTCTTCCATGCAATGAACATTTATTCGTGCTACACAGAGAGTGACAATATTGATCTTCTGCATGAGCTGACTGTAATGGCCTTGCCCACAAGATAACGTGCTTCCTGATCGCATCCCTAGCTATGAGTGAGCAAAAGGTTACGCTATCTTTGCATTTAAGTGCAAACAGAAAAGTGAGAAAGCTATAGCCTGTACAGCCTTCTTGGTGACAGCATCAGCAAACTATTACAGTGCAAACTGAGTATACCAAAACACTTGGAAGTTTGTGTTGGACTGCCATACCTTCTCATCAACTGCCAGATTAAGGCCAACGTGAGCGTACGGTTTCCTTCATTCAGATCTTGCCCAGCGATGCCAACAAGGGAAAATTTGGCTTGATTCTTTCCCAGTTCCACTGCATAGTTGCAGTTTTCAAGCTGTTAATGACAGGGTCAATTAGCATGGTTCAAAAATATAGAAAAAAGACAAGACACTGTTACTTTAAATTCTTTGGATTGCTTAGCCCAGATCCTCCTGGGCAAACAGGAGCTTTGGGGCTCCGTGATAATACACCTGTTTGACTACCAGAAGCCAGTTCCATCCCAAAAATACCATGTTAAACAGTTAACATAGAAGGAAGCGTCATACTTCATCATCAGGGCCTGAAAAACAGATTATCCTGGAAAATACGAATCTATGGCTCATGGGTACATCCAGCATCATGGCATTGCACTGAGACAAAGGATTAGTGTCCTAGTCAATATTTTAGGTCAGTTAATCACTCTGGCCTAACTGGATGGAATTACTCATCCAGATAGCTGGGAGAAACCTTTGTATTTAGCAGCAATTCTGTGATCAGTTCTTGAGGCATCTGGTCAAGAATGCTTATTATCACTGTCTGTCTTTGATGTGGAAGGCAGCGATCCAGACGACTGCAATTAAGCTGGTGCCATATGACTCACAGTGAAGATGCATTATGATTGGTGACTAAAAAGTAGCAAAAGTGGTCTGCAAATGCAGTTTTAAAATATTGACACAAAAGGTGTCAAGTCTTTTTACTTTACAAATACTGTTCACCTGTCAACACAGCCAGTGATTCAAATATATGTTTCTTTCTCAGGATGAAAAATTATTCACTGACTAGACAAAAAATGATTTAATGTGCTGTACTTGGGACTTGCAAGCAACATGAGTGTCCACATTGCTGTTTGAAATGATATAGACATCCTTTGAGGATCGGGCAGCGCTACTGGAGCTATTCCAGCTTTTTGTACCTTCTTCATGTTGCCACCCAGTTTAGGATACGGTGGTTTGTTCACTCTGTTCCAGTCTACTGGCACTTTGATCTTTTCATAGAGCTGGAAGATAACCAAGGCATCTGACAGGTCACTGAAAACAATAAAAAAGAAAGATATATCAAAAGAACAGAGGAAAGGAACCCAACTAAACTATTAGTAGAAGTAAATGTAGTTTCCTACCAAAAAAAAAAAAAAAGAAAAAAAAGAAAAAAGCATATATTCTTATAGGGCCCAAAAGTTTTTATGTTTTTGTAAACATTTCGCTGGCTGTATTTATCATCCGAAGGAGGTGTAATACCTCCTCTTACCTGTATAAGTGATTTACACGTGGATTAACGCCCAGGGAGTTCATCCAGTTCCTGAACGTCCTCTCTTCCCTTGTCTCACCTAAAACAACAGATACATCAATCAACAGGCCTGCAAAACACAATACTCCAGTAAAATAAAGTGTCTTGTGATGAAACCATAACTCAGAATTTACAGCACACTAAACCATAAACAGAAGGAGACACTGGTTGACATGTGAAATAAGAGAGCACAGTGCAGCATGTAATATTTCTTCATGCCCTATATATTATAATATTTCAACAGATCAGCCTTGAAATGCCTTCAAGAACTCAAGAACAGCCCCTGCCCTAGCGTGAACAGTTTCACTATGAGGCTGAGAAAGAAGGAACTGGAGCTCAGCAAATGATCCGTACAATGGTGGTCCTGACCCCAACCCAGAGCAAGCAAGCAGCAGGTTTATGTAAGATCTGATTTTTAAATTATGTTCTCAATTAAGGGAATGCCAGATCAACCCTGATTTTAACTAACAAGCATGCTCAATAGTCCGTATTGGTTCAGACATCCCACAAACATTTTTGTCTTTCAACATGTGCTATCCACAGGACAGTCCCCCAGAATACCAGAAGCGACATGGAGGTAAAGAGCAGCGTCCCTTTCTCAAGGCTGCCTGTCCTAATGGTGCAGCGAAAATATGTCTGAAGGACAGAAGGTTAGGATAACACATCGTCAACTCAGAGCTGGGGATACTGTGCCACGGGTGGCCAGAAACACCCTTTATATGCATTTTCCTTACCTTCAATAGAGCTCCAGTCGATGTCCTGGTTCTCTGGCTTATGCAGGGCAGGGTATTTGTTGAACAAGTTGGCGATGAAGGCCAAGTTTAGCTTTGGGTTCCCCCGGACGACGTCGGTGGCCGTGACGAACTGGCGGCA